GCTCTGTGTGAGTGTGTGTGTATGGAGTGGGGTGGGAGGGGGGCAGTGTGTACTCATGGCTTCTGCTCTGCATTGCATTTGACCTTCTATCTGACTCTTCTGGCCATTCTACAACTCGCCTCTTCCGCTTATCATCCCCTCCCCCAACAGCTGCTGTGTTTTGCTGCCTCATCCGCCGCATGCCCACACTTTATCTCTGCTTGTGGGTTGTTTTACCTGTTATCCTCAACTCTGAATCACTGGATGCCCATTCCTTACTCTAGCCGTGGGACTGGAGACAGGAGCTTGAGGGAAAGGGAAAGGACAATGTAACTAATGGGGATGTTAGGCTGTGGGTGTGGCTATTTAGTGACTTTTTCTTCCTGACCTCCAGCTGACAGCAGCGTTTGAGGAAGGAACTAGGGCCTAGGTTGGTTGAAATCCTGTGGTATTATTTCTTCTCCATTTCTTGACACCCTTTTTTCTATCTTTCAATTTATTTTTCTGTCTCTCTCCCGGTTTCTTTTTGCCTCTTTTTCCTCTCCTTTGCCCACACACGAAGCTGGTTCGTGACAATGCAGATTTGCGCTGTGAGCTTCCTAAGCTGGAGAAACGACTTAGGGCTACGGCTGAGAGAGTTAAGGCCCTGGAGGGCGCATTGAAGGAAGCAAAGGAAGGCGCCATGAAAGATAAGCGCAGATATCAGCAAGAGGTAGACAGAATCAAGGAAGCCGTACGCTACAAGAATGCTGGCAAGCGAAACCACTCTGCTCAGATTGGTAAGTGGTGGGGAGAAGGTAGAGTTAGGGCATGGGGTAGGCCTGGTGTAGAAGATCTCTGCATCCTCAGGGTTCATGGCAGCCTTCCTGAGATGACATGGCCTTCCTTTGGAACAGCCCCAGCTCTTTGGAAACTAAGACAGCTCCTGCTGCTGTGTGGCATCCTGATGTACTCCTTTCCCTGTGAGGCCAGATAAATCCCCAGGATGTCAGGCTACTAGTCACTTTTCACAGTGGAAGGATGTTACTGTTTTCCCTTGGTGGAACAAATAGAAAGAAAAAAACCAATGAAGTTCTTCAAAGGCCATTCAGGCCAACCTAGGGAAGAGAATAACTTCAAGGGGTAAAAAGGAGTAAGAGGCAGCACCCTTAGTATCTGAGTCCTCGATCTTCTCTTTAACCACAGCCAAACCAGTCCGGCCTGGCCACTATCCAGTGTCTTCACCCACCAATCCTTATGGCACCAGGAGCCCCGAATGCATCAGCTACACAAACAATCTCTTCCAGAACTACCAGAATTTGTACCTGCAGGCTGCACCTAGTGCTACTTCAGACATGTAGTAAGTAGCCACGGTGGGGGAGGGGTCACTGTTCAGTCTTCAGGAAGCTTTAAGTCCCTACAAGACAATGATCAGGCAGAATCCCCAAGACTCATTTTATTTTGAGTAACTTTATTTTTGACCCTGTCTCTTGTTCTCTCCCCCACTCCACTCCCAACTATCCCAATGATAAATTGAATTAGGAATAGGTACCAACCCTCCAAGTTAAAGGTGAATTGTTCCTTAATTCCTGCTTTGGGAAGCCTCCACCACTTTAATGTTAGGATATGACTTTATTTCTGGATCCGGAGGTGGGGAAGATAGTTGTCTTAAAGCTTGGAGAGGAGCTAAGATGGCATCTGCCCTCCTCTACCCTTCTCATCCAGCTTTGGTAACTCCTTTGCCAGTGGTGGAACTTCATCCTCCTCCAGTGGTAATCTGGCTTCCTACCAGAAGTTAAACATGGATAACGGTAAGAAGGAGAGGGCATTTGTTGTTCAAAATACCTATGAATCAAGGATTCCATGTTGGTGGGGAGGCAGTTTGAGAGAACCAGTAAGAACAAGTGACCTTGGGGTCCCTATCTCTCCAACACCATCCCAAAAGTCTTGTCATCTCTGGGTCTGGGGCTCCTCTTTTGATTCTTCCCTTACTATTCATCCTAACCTCTTCTCTTAGTGAGAGAACAGCCTCTTCCTTAGAACCCCCCCCCCCCCATTCCCAAGGAAATTTGGTGAAGGAGCTCAGTTATAATAGGAGGATAGCCTATATCTTAAAGTCCCCAAGGGCTTGGGGGGGGAGAAACTTAAGGAATTGTTACTTGATACCCTACCTCTTTGTTTATTTCCCCTTGTCTCCTCTACTCATAATGATTGATTTCTCCAGGAAATGCCACAGACATCAATGACAACAGGTACAGAGGTTTCCCATCTTAGGGTATCTCTTTGGTGGGTGGGTGGGGTGAATGAGGAGTGTGTTGGAGCTAGTTCAAACCAAACCAGTTCCTGAATTTTTAGTGTGAGCATTTAAATCTCAGAAAATTGGAAAATGCTACAACTTGGGACTTGATTTATGGTTTGTTGATTGTCTAGATTTAAGAAAGAAATGGAGAAAATGTTAATTTTTCCTGGAAACTCAGTTGTTAAAACATTTTCCAGCACACCCCAAAGGGGAGTCCTAATATTTCCCTAACTCTCTTCTGAAGGTTCCCTGGATTATGCTATATAAAAGGTGGGAGGGGGATATTAGGTGGGGCTAATTAAGACCATCCTTCACACTACTCTGGCTAGTAAGGTTATCCCAGTCATCCCCACTTTAATGCAGAACTATTCTCTTGACCAATCCACCAATCCAAAAAGAATTTTTCCCAGTGCTTAAGCCATAATTGAACCTATTTCAATAATGTGATTAAATTTATGTTCTCATTTCACCTACACTGTGAAATGCAACTTTGGGCAAGTCTTTTATATCTGGAGTCAGAGAAACTGGATTTGAATCATAGTTCTGCTATTTACTACCCATATCATTTAATCTCAGGTCCTCAGTTTCCTTATCTGTAAAAGGAAGCTACTGGAATAATTTTTAAAGTCCCTTCCAATTTTAAATCTATAAGCCTATGAACAGTCCTTGTTTTCCTTTACTTCAACATAAATGTATGGTGAAAGTCAAATGAGAATATGTTAGAAAATGGTTCATAATTGCACAGTAGTGGTGGCTGGTACTATCTAGCTATTCTCTTCTGTAGGAGTGACCTGCCCTGTGGCTGTGAAGCTGATGAACAGGCTAAGCTTTTCCCCCTTCATCAAGAGACAGCAGCCAGCTAATCCGCCCCCATGAACTGATGCATATCTGCACTTTGAGGTAACTTTAGGTGTCTAACAGAAACTAGCTTCAGTTTGCTTCCCCATACTTCAACACTTCTCTTACAGCTCCAAATTGTTTACTATCCATAGGTAGATTTCTGCCTTCCTCTCTCAAATGTTGCACATATGCTGCCTTGCCTATTCATTCCCTTAACCTACACTAATGTTCTTGCCAGGTGGAGACTGCTGTAGCCGTAGTGCCACTAGAGGTCACTGGTACATGCCCAAAGAGTGAATCTGGGAAGCTGGGCAGGGAGAGATTTTAAAAAGGCAGGAACAGTTAAGAGTTCAAGGACTGGAAAAGACTTTGAGAGATCATAGAATTCCTATACCTAAATTATTTTAGATAGACTTTATATATCCTGAACTAAGAAATCTTCAGGAAAAGAACCATCCCCCACACCTTACTTCCCAACCTCCTCATTTTTGTTTCCTACCAATGACCTGTTGGAAATCCCCTTTGGTCTATCCCTCCAGCTTCAGCTAAAGCCCTTTCTTTTCACTTTGTGATGGAGAGATGAGGGTGGGGAGACAAGACACACCATTTCACCTTTTTAGAGGCTGCCTGTTCAGAGCTTTCTAATTCAGGACCCTGTCCTTATGTATTCTCTACATAACTCTCCTAGGTCTCTGGGCCCTAGGTCCTTTCCTTTTCACTTGGATTTTCTTCAAGATCGCCCTCAAATTTAAAACTTGACAACAGGTTTTTCTCAGGCTCTCTGTTTTAGATCCCTGAGGACCATTAACAGAGAAGACATTGGTAGTCTTTCAATTAAATTCAATAAACATTTTACATGCCTAATACATGTAAGGCATTGTGTGAGGTGCTGGGGATAGAAAGATCAAAACAAAATAATCCTTTCACTTAAAGAAATTTACATTCTTGCTTCGGCCAAGGCAGCAATCCAGGTCAAATACCCCCAGAAAGAGCTCAACCAGAAACAGCTCAACTCAGCCCAATCTTACACAAAAATACCAGATAGGGGAAAAGGTGTTGGAGATTTAGGGGTGAAGAGAGCTAGGGAACAATGCAAGAAAAAGCAGCTGAGAATTGTTTTGGTGGAATTTATGTATATTGACCTTATGCCAAAAATCTGTGAAATTAGTTTACGTATTCCTTTTTGAATCAAAAAACTCAAGTGCTTTTCATGGCTGGGCTGCAGAGTGATCCCTCTTTCTTTTTCTTCCCCAGTTTCTAAGAGGGATTGAGGCCTCTCCTCTCAGCATGCTGCAAACCTGTGGTCTCTGATACTAACCCCTTTCCCCAATCCTCGTTGTTCAACTGTATCATGTTTGATGTCTTTCTCTTGTTCTCTGTATATCTCTGTGTACTGTATATCAAAACTGCTGCTATGTCTTTTTTTCCACTGTCTTACTCTTGAAGGTATCCAATGATGTATCTAGCAACTTTGTATGCATAGTCTACCCCACTCACTTGGGGTAGTAAGGAGGAAGGTGAAGGTTTCTTCTCTCTCATGTATTTGTCTTTCACACTGAGTGGTATTAATCACTGAACTGGGGTCACTGGTAAAGATGGAAAAAAGGAAGCTAGAGGTCCATGGCCTTTCTTATTTCAAAACACAAACAAAGCCTTAAGTTGAAGAATGTTTTGGCTTTATAACAAGTTACAGAAACACTTTTTTTTTCCTCCCACAGATTTATTGAGCAGGGGTGGCTAGAATTCCTACCCACTGAGGATTCCAGATATTTACCTCTGTCTTCCAAAATCTGTCTGTCTTTCCCTTTTTTCTCTGGGCACTGAAAACATGGGTGGCTGAAATCACTATCTCCTCCTTTATTTCTGCCCTTTGTATATGCCACCCGATAGTTTCTGCCCAAAATTCCCAGAGTAACACTGTAGTGATGGAGAAGCAGGGGACTTGATCCCTTCAACCTTTCTTCACGGAGCCTGGCAAATAACTGCTTGTCTCTTTTTTTAAAAAACAGTGGATAGAGAACAGGCAAATGGTAGCTGGCGTTGTCTGTCTTCTTGAATTTCTCCCAGTGTAATGGAGTAAACAGGCAGGGAAATTTCTTGCACCTATTTGCAACACTAACTTCAAGGTATGAAGGAGGTGAGCTGGACCCCTTTCTCTTTGTTCCATATTATGCTGCCTTATGCTCTCACCTTTCCTCTCCACCCCTCTTCTTGGTTTGGGGTTTTCTAGTTGTCAGAAGAATGACTTTCTCTAGATTTATTCCTTCCAAGCTGGGGGCAACAATCCAAATTTCTATTTTCTGTTTCTTCAGCAAGAATCCTTTTCAAAGAATGCACTTTAAGGAAGAAGGGAGGGGAAAATTTTAAGGAAGTAGAGTTTGAAGACTTAATATGTAGGAGCTCCAACTACACCCTCCCTTAGCCCAAATTGCAACTGCCACTGGGTAGAAGAAAGGATCAGAATTTTGGTTTGTTTTTGGGCTCGTTCTTCCATCCAACTCTGCCTATGTGCAAGTGGTTTTGTAGATAAGTGCAAGACTGGAGGAGTTAAACCACTGACTAGAAAGAAAACCAGATTTCCCTTTTTCTCTTAGGGGTCACTAAAATAGTGTAGAAGCTTGTAAATGAAAATCTTATCTACAGGACCGTTCTATAGCCTAAAGTCCCTTCTTTCAATTTTTGAGGGAGGCTTGGGGGAGGAATCCAAGAAAGAAAACAGGGGTGTGTCTGCCCTATGGACAAGATAAAGAAACCACTTAGATTTCTTTCTAAAGTTACTCTAAGGCATAATAAGTCCAGGATAGAAAGGAGAACTAACCTTTCTCAAACAAAAGTCACATCCCCAGAACTAATCTTTCTCAAAAAAACAAAAAAAAAACCCCAAAAAACCCCAAACCCAACCAAATCCCCACCTGTATCAATCACCAGGAGACTGCAGTACTAAATATTTTCCCCAAGACAAATCTACATCCTTGAGGCAAAAGGAAAAAAGTGGGAAAGGGGAAGAGAAGACCATCCATAGCCATACCTCTTAGGATTACAGAATTCACCACACTCTAATTAGAGCTAAGGGTGGATAAGATAGTCTACAAATACTTGAGAGGTAATGCTGAAGGAAATCACACTGATAAAGAAGTAAGGGTAAAGTCTCTGACCAAATGAAAAACCATTTTAGTAACGGGACTTCATGCTAATATTCGCTACCAGGGGACCCGAGTCCAGTATGTCTTATGTAATAGTGCCATTTAATTATTCTTTTAAGGAGCAGATGAGTTGTGAAGGCATGGTGTGGGGGGAAGACAGGTGTGCAAACAGGGTTAGTGGAAGAAGGGCTGGGAATGCATCACTCACTCGCTATACACACGCACGCAACAGAAAAAAAAAATCCTTCCATGAAGGCCTCATCCTGCATCCCCCTCCTCTTCGCGTCATCCATCCCCTCCCTCCCCTAGAGCCTGGGTCTCAGCATCTGGCTGGCCCACCCACATCTGCCAAACGTTGCATGTCGGAGTGGAAGAAAATACAACACAAACCCCAGTGTCTATTAAAGTGCGAGCGGATATCTTTAAAAATAAAACGAAAACGTTAACCTTTCTCCTGCCTGCCTACGTGTTTTTTTGGGGGGGGGGGCCTGGACGTAAAACACGGCGGGAGGGGTAGGGCAGTTACAGCAGAGTCCCTGCCTCAGGGAGGTCCTCCTCCCCTTGGGCTCAGACTGGGGGATCCGCGCCCGAAATATCGCCCCAAACGCAGTCCTAGGGCTCCCCCTCCCCCGCCAGCGCGTAGGATCGCTCTGGCCTGCTCCAGGTGAGAGGATGACGTGGTCACGTCAACGGGAGGTGGTGTAGTACCCCGGCTTCGCGCCGGCGCGTTCCCATCCTCGCTGCCCTGAGACCGCCTGCCTCCCCCGCCCGTTCTCCAGTCACGTGACGGCGGTGCAGGTGAGCAACACTTCCGGAGGCGGGCGCTAGCATCGCAGCTCCTAGCTCGAGCTCGAGCTCCGGCTCCGGCAGGTTCGCGCGGGGCAGGCTATGGCGTCGTCTTCTGCCTCGTCGGCCACCGTACCGGCAGCGGCAGCGGGCCCCGGCCCGGGTTTCGGCTTCGCCTCCAAGACCAAGAAGAAGCATTTCGTGCAGCAGAAGGTGAAGGTGTTCCGGGCCGCTGACCCGCTCGTGGGCGTGTTCCTGTGGGGCGTCGCCCACTCGGTGAGGCTCTGCCCCTGTCGTCCCTCCCCTCCCCCTATCGGGCTGTGTCCCGGAGCCTCTCCCCTCCCGGGGGCGCTGCCGCCGCTGGTCTCCGGGAGCCCCGGGGCCTCGCGTCCCTGGCCCCTGCCCCTCCCCCTCTCCAGTTCTGCTCTCCCGGGTTTCTGCGAGGAGGGACCCCGGGCGGAGGGCGGAGGGGCCAGGCTGGGGAGGGTCGGGTCCGGTGGCTGGGGGCATTCACGCTCCTCTCCCTCCTGCTTTTTAGCGCCGGTGCTAGACTCCGAAGCCTCTGGCTTAGCCCGGCTGAGCTCCGGGCTTCATGAGTCACCTAGTCCTCTGTGTGTTCCCACAGTGGTCCGGAGGTACAGCATGTCAGAGATGCAGCCCCACCTCCCCTTTCCAGCCTGGTTCCCGGCTTACCCTAACTCTTAACAGCTTCCATGGCTGCAGTGATGGAACTTGGGGTCTTGTGGGGAGGGGACACAGTTTTGTCAGCTTTTTGGGGGCGGGGGAATCAGCATTTAGCTCAATGCATGGCATGCAGTAGGAGCTTGTTAAATGTTTATGGATCTTGAAGGGAAAGATCATGAAGAATGTTCACTTTGGGAGAGGAGAGGGACATCTCTAATTCCTTACTCTCCAGTGTAAAACAGACAGGGAAGGGATTAAGATTGCGGCAAGAAATAGGGAAGAAAATTAAGTTTTTTCTCGAACACCCTCATTCCCGTATTTCCTAATATCTATGTGAGTGCCAGGGTGGAAGAGGAAAGCAGTGTGTGGGAATATTGGATTAACTGTTTTCCTTTAGTGGGGCCTTGGGGAGAGAAGTAGCTTCAGATTTTAACACCTTCTTTGCCCTTCTGAAGGGTAGAACTAAAATCTCACCCCATATATTGGTTTTTGATTTGGAAAAGTGCTTTGGGTCAGTTAGGCAACTCTGTGGTCTATCAGTTTCCTAGGTGCTCAGTTTTGGGTTACTGTAATTGATCTGCAGACCCTAGTTATGAGGAAACTGTTCTCCATAGTGCTATCTCCTCCCATTCCGTTCTACCTACACACCATAACCTGTCCCAACATAAGCTTTAACTGAACATTTTTCTTTTAAGTGTTAGGAGTTGGGAGAAGTTCACAAAGCACGTGCCATATTGCCTTTAGGCTTCCTCCGGGGTGCAAGTTCCAGCTCAGTTTTCCTTTCAAGGCTCAGAGGAGTTGTCTCTTGAACATATGTCTTAATGATGATTCAGCTTATAGCACAGCAGGTGGAAGGGATGGCTTAATCTTAGGGAATGGCAAGTTATTTTTCTGGAGGAGTATGTGCTTTCTCCAACTAAATGAGTTGCCACTGCAGTATAAAGGATTTAGATTAGATTTCATTCTTTTGGGTGATGTTTGGGAGGGGATTGGATGTCAGCCTTGGGAGAGGGAGGGAGGGGGAAGAGAAAAGTAAAATCAAAGGCATCTGCTCCTTTGGAGAGCCTTAGCATAGGCGGTCGCCCCTTATAATCTCTTCCATCTGGTAGACTAAGCAATCCATAGATTCTAACATTATTTGGGGCCAAGGAGAGAATAATGGAGTGGGAGGATAAACCACTTCGCCCTTAATGAATGTGCTCCTAATGAGCTTGCACTTCCTGGCTGCCTAGATTTCTTTGGAAATCAGTTGCTCTTTTTTTTGCTTATACCTTCTGAGATTGGGGGACAGAGAATTAGGTCAGAGCAGGTAGGACTAAGGAGAGAAATGTGCAAATGTGTATTTTCATTATTTATAGTCTTCCCCTAGGCCATCCTATTCCGTGCTTTTATTCAATGTCTCTATGTTCTGAACACTGGGTTTGTTAGATAGACTGGCCACTGCCATTAGGAATTGTTTATAGTTACTAAATCCTTCTCACTTCCCTCTGCTGTGTCCCTGAGGGCCTTCTTAGCTCCATCTGACTGAAATGATTGCATTTTAAAAACTGGAACACATATCTGTTTGCCTTTGGTATCTTGAGGCTGCTGACTGTTTTCTTTTTCTTTAGAATTTCTCACAGCTTTTAAAATAAACTTGAGAAGCTTAGAGGGTTTGCCTGATAAAATGACTTTGTGTTATGGGCATGAAGTCACATGGAATGGATTTTGTGAGGGGCCACAGGTAAAATTGGCCCACTTTTGTCCTTAAGCAGTATGAGGGAATAGAGATTTTGATTCTCCCTCTGTTAGCATATCTAGATTTTATTTTTTAAGGGTTGGGGTTTAAACCGCTGGCTTTCCTCTATCCCGACTCTTTTTTATTATCACTTACTGTCTCCCTGTTTGATTTTTCATTAGATCAATGAGCTTAGCCAGGTCCCACCCCCTGTAATGCTGCTTCCAGATGACTTTAAGGCTAGCTCCAAGATCAAAGTCAACAATCACCTCTTCCACAGGTGAGTGAGATCTCTTCCTTCCTCTTTCCTCTTATGTAAGTTGAGAGGGTCTGTCTTTACCTCTCTCATGAATCAGAAATATTTAGAAGAGCCGTAAAGATTAAAATCTTAGAATAATAGAATCTTAGCATTGGAAGAGATCTACCCTGTAAAGGTTTACCTGGAGGAAATGTTTAGTGATAATTCCTTTTTTGCTTGTGCAAGACCAGCAGTAGCAAATGACTGATCACCAGTCTGGTACTTAGAGTCCTTATGTTAACTCAATTAACAATGGGCTCACTGCTAATCTCAGGGTGACTAACTTACTAGTCTGTAGTATATGCTACTGTTAAGATGAGTGTTCACCCCTCAACCCACACTCCAGGGAGAACCTGCCTAGTCACTTCAAGTTCAAGGAGTATTGTCCCCAGGTCTTCAGGAACCTTCGAGATCGATTCGGGATTGATGACCAAGACTACCAGGTAAGGAATCTGTAGTGGGGTGAGGTTGATTTCTCCTACCCAACAAATGAAAGGAGGGGAGCATGAGTCTTTGAAACCAAATGTGGTTCTGAATTTGATATGTTATCTTCTCTTCTCTCCCTTGGGCTGGGTGTTTCTTCTCCTCCATGTTTTCAATTGATTGTTTTACTTTCTTTTTTAGTGAAAGAGGGGTCTCCATGTCTGACCCCTGTTATATTTCCCAGGTTTCTCTTACCCGAAGTCCCCCAAATGAGAGTGAGGGCAGTGATGGGCGATTCCTTGTGTCATATGATCGAACTCTGGTCATCAAAGAGGTTTCTAGTGAGGACATTGCTGACATGCATAGCAACCTCTCCAACTACCACCAGGTTAGACCTTTAAATTTCATTCCAGCACTCCACCCCACAAATGTCTTCATTGGTATGGCCCCAAAAGACTACCTTATGTTTTTCCCCCTCTATATAGACCACTTTTTTTTTTTTAAACAGGCAGATGTAGACTGTTGGGACAGCTAGGTGGCGCTGTGGATAGAGGGCCAAACCTGGAGTCAGGAAGACTCATCTTCCAGATTTCGAATCTGGCCTCAGACACATACTAGCTATATGATCTTGGGCAAGTCACTTAATTCTGTTTACCTTAGTTTCCTTATCAGTAAAATGAGCTGGAGAAGAAAATGGCAAAGTACTCCAGTATCTTTGCCGAAGAAATACCAAATGAGGTCACGAAGAGTCAGATATGACTGAAAAATGACTCAACAACAACATGGATTGTCATCACAAAGTACATAGTAGTGCTTGGTGGTGTAGAAAAAGAATTGTGGCTATATTTCCTTCCCTCTGGGAGCTTACAGCTGTATTGGACATACATATAACATAGTATAAGCAGTATTAATTTAGGATCAGTCAATAAAACATTAACATCAATACCTGTCAAGAGTAAGGGAATATGGAGGCTATAGCCATGGTCATTTATAATGTAGGATGAGTCCACGGAAGCAGTCTACTCTTCTAAGATCAGTTGAGGTATCAGGCAGTGATTGTCAATTTTTTTTTCCCATAGAGCATGTTCTAGAGGTGTCAAAAACACTTCACCTACTCATCTTGGTTCTGTTTGCCACTAATGAAAAACCTGGAAAAAGAAAGAGAAAAGTGCTACGTCTATGGAAGCACAAATGCCTTAATTCTAGAATCAAAAGCATAGGTTCTGTCCTGTGTGAATATTATTTTTGTCCTAAATCAATCCATTGAGAAGTTTCATTGTTCTAAAGGAAAGTGCTTAGGCTGGATCCGGAGATCTGAGTTACAGATCTCACTACCACCAGCTGGGAAAATCTAGCAAATCCCTTATCACCTAGAAATTTCCAGTTTATTCAATTGTAATATAAGAATAATATATCTGATTGACCTGTATTACAGAATTGTTTGATGAGATAAGTGTGAACATTTAGATAAAAGGTATTATACAAATGGAAATTATTGAATTTCAAGAGCAGTAGGAATGATTAGGGGCAATTCTAGGAGGCTCGGTCCCTGTGATCTCCTCTCCTCTGGGCACCGCTAAGTTTCGGGTTAATTTCAGGTTTTTCTCCCCCCTCACCTAGAACCAGTGTCTGGATCCACCTTTTGGTGAGTGTTACCCATGTGGATCTGACTGTTCGTCTTCTGATTTTTTTTTCCAATATTCTCATCTCAATACTTCCTGTGGCTTCCATCCTAGTATATAGTCAAGTGTCATGGCAACACGCTGCTCCCCCAGTTCCTGGGAATGTACCGGGTAAGCGTTGACAATGAAGACAGCTACATGCTTGTAATGCGAAACATGTTCAGCCACCGGCTCCCTGTGCACAGGAAGTACGACCTCAAGGTAAGGGGGTAAGAGGGATAAAGAGAGTCAGGAAGGGGTCTAGAAGAGGAGCCCGAAAGAAGATTTGTCCTATAGAAAAAGCCAGTGTCAGTGAAATGGTGAGGTTCACAAGGGAGCAACAAGAAAGGGAACTGGTTTGAAGAGCAATGTCCTCTCCGTTACTTTAGCTGCTCCTTGACTGTTTCTTTCTGGATCTTTCTTTTTGTAGGGTTCCTTGGTATCACGGGAAGCCAGTGATAAAGAAAAGGTGACACTGGTTGGGTTTTTTTGGGGGGGGGGATTGGGATACGTCTTGGCATGGAAAGGAAGTCCATTTCGGCTAATGAGGGAAGAAAAATGTCTTTGGTTGAAGGATTCCCACGAACTACTCTGCTTATAAACCAGGGGAAGAAAGAGAAAATTCTCTGGAAAGATTTATGTCCAATTAAAAAGCGACTGTTTTTTAATCAGAGCTTAGCTAGGTGGGGCTCCTCTGTGTAGGAAATGTTGGGGTTGGTGCAAGAGCAGAGGATGTGATATGCTAAATCTGAGGAATAAATGTGTTGACTCTCCTCATCCCAGGAGTTTTCTCAGTCTAAGAGAAAGATTTTTTGATAAGAGAAGAGAGGTGGAAGAGTAGGGACATGGGCAAAGATTGGGTTGGAAGCCATAGGCATGAGAATAAACAAGATATGATTCTGGGGATGGCAGAAGCTCCAGTGGTGAATTGGCAGCAATCAGAGCCAGGTAAAAACCCTGAGTGACACATATTATTGTGAGTTGATGAAGCAGAAACAGTTTAGAATGTAAACTCCTAGAAGGTCAGGACTCCTTTTCATTTTGTCTTTGTGTCAATGCCTGGCATATAGTAGATGATCAATAAATGCTTCTTGTATTTGATTAGTTACAACGTTTTTGGTTTGTGTGTAGATCTAGGCTTTGTGGTATGTTTGGGGGAAAGGACCAGAAGGAGGGGTGTGAACCTGGGAGGACAGCCCAGAAGAATGAGAAAATGGCGTCCAATGACTAGGCGGGGTGGGGGAATGTTGAAGGTTTTTTGTTGGTTTTTTTTTTTTTTAGGCCGAAAGGATTGATCAAAAACGTTGTTTTCTCCATTCCTCTCAGGTTAAAGAATTGCCCACACTGAAGGATATGGACTTTCTCAACAAGAACCAGAAAGTTTATATTGGTGAGGAGGAGAAGAAAGTATTTTTGGAAAAGCTAAAGAGAGATGTAGAGGTGAGGTTTGGTGGGATTGAATGTAAAATGGTATCCTCTAATCATTCCTCCATAGGGCAGCTATGTCTTCTAGTCCTAATGTAAAGGAGCCTCTCTTCTTTGTTCTATCTGTTTGGTTTAGGTTGGGTTTGGAGAGTTGAGGGGCTTCCAGATTCTTAGTGGGAGATCCCTCACAACTCTGGTTGGGGTGGAGGGGAGGGGTGATGAGATGATAGGTTTGAGTTGTGAAAACAGGCCAGTCATCTTGGACTCTAAATTAGGAAGGATCTGACTTGAGGTAAGACTGCCCCTGCCATGTGTCCTCTTAGTCTCTGTCTCTTTTCCCTGGAGATAGCCAGGATCTTAGTTGGATAGAGGGAGTAGAATCCTGGAAGGTGAGAAGTGGTCTGGTATCTCTGACACATTGGTGGGCCTCCAGTTTTTGGTACAGCTGAAGATTATGGACTACAGCCTCCTCTTGGGTATCCATGATATCGTTCGGGGGACAGAACCAGAGGAAGAAGGACTTGGAAGAGAGGAGCAACCTGAAGGGGAGGGGGACTGTGGTATGGCAGGGCCTCCAGTTTTGGTTGGCTCCTGTGGCACCTCCCCTGAGGGAATCGGAGGCTATATCCATGCTCACCGACCCTTAGGCCCTGGCGAGTTTGAGTCCTTCATTGATGTCTATGCCATCCGAAGTGCTGAAGGTGAGTAGGATGTAGGGGACAGTGGTTTTGGAGCTATTCCTGGTGCTCAGAAAAGAAAAGTTAAGGAGACCCTCAAGTGGAAGAAAAATTAGGGGAGAGTTCCATCACACTAGAGAAAGGCACCCCTGAGTTGGTCTGCATGTTGCCTTTGAAGGATGGTCTTACAAAACCTCAGGATTGGAAGGGACCTTAGAGGTCATCCAGTCTAACAGGAAGTCCCTCTACAATATCTATGAAGTGAGTGGAGACAAGGCACATGTGTATAGATAACTATGAATAAAATAAATGCCTGTATGAGTGCTTTGGATTAAGGGTGGGGTGTGGAAATCAGCATTATACTTTGCCTTTCACCACATTCCTCATCTCCCAGGGGCCCCCCAGAAAGAGGTATATTTCATGGGCCTCATTGACATCCTCACCCAGTATGATGCCAAGAAGAAGGCAGCTCATGCCGCAAAGACTGTCAAGCATGGGGTGAGTATTCCCCATAGGCTTTTGTATACTCTTCTGGCTCTCATTCCCACTTTAAGGCTCAGAAACAGTTGTTAGGGGAAGAGCTTCAGTTTTCTTTGGAAAGCCTTTGTAATGACCAGGGGTGAGGGAGAGAGGGATTAAAGAACTGAAGGTGGAAATCAGAGGAAGGATTTGGGGTGAAGGAGCAGTCCATCCCCAAAGCCACCCTCAACCCCCTCTTTGTTTCTCAATTCTCTCTTTCCACAGGCTGGCGCAGAGATCTCTACTGTCCATCCTGATCAATATGCCAAGCGGTTCCTAGATTTCATCACCAACATCTTTGCCTAGGAGACTGATTGGCACTCTATGACGCCTCCTTTGACTTGGGTCGGGGAGGAAGAAGTGACAGGGCTGCAGGGGGAGACTGAAGGAGTTAGGGGTGTCTTCTTCCTTAGCTGAGTCCAGGTTGCCTCTCCCTACTCCCAGAGTGATGTCTTCCCTGCATCTTGTCCTAACCACACCACCCCCAGAGTCAGCTTCGTTAGAGTTTTACTGAGGACTTTTTTTTTTCTCTCCCAAGTGCCTTGATCTTTGTAAAACGTCATGTTATTTTTGTAAAATAGGAGGAGCTGGATTGGTTGGGGGGAGGGGTATCTTCTGACCCTGGCAGGATCAGTGACTCTGGTTCTAGGTGTTGCTCTAACCTGGAAAGCTTGAGTCAGCCTGGCTTGAACTTTGCTGTTTAATTTTATTGGAGGCAGAGGCTCGCTCTTCACTCTTCCAACATTCCCCCATGTACCTGGTGCAGATGTGGATGCAGCAGTGTGCATAAGATGTGGTAGCCAGTCTTACTCACTGAAGTGGGGGGGTGTGTGTGGAAGATAGTCAGCAGGCTGGCTTCCCACTGGGTTGGGGGCTTGAGAGATTTTTTGGCTTTGTCAGGAACTTTGAATGGTTCCCTAGCCCTTTCCTCAGTGTCCTGGGCACCTAAGTCTTGAAGCATCCTCACTGTCTAGGCCCAAGTTGGGGTTGTTTGGTTGCTGCTGCTGGATACCAGAGCCTCTGTCCCTACCTGGGACTGGTATTTAGGTGGCTGGTCTGGGAGACTGGGGTGAAGAAAGATTCTGGAGCTAAAAGCTCACTATATTTAATATTACTTTCTCTTTGTCTAGTTATTTCTGGGTGTTGTTCCAGGGGCAGGGGAATTCCTCAGTCTGGACCAAACCTGGTTATCTTTGGGGTGAATTGAACCCAGCACCATTCCTTCTTCCCCTTTCCTTTCACCTTTGTTATCAGCCTACCCCCAACCTGTCTTGTGCTGCTGTCATATGTCCCCAGAATAGGTGACATTGTCATCCCTATTCCCTACGTCCTGAGAGGAATCAGCCATAACTGCCCCTCCCTAAATTGTATAGGAGTAGTATACCTAACTGGGGTTTGAGGGGCATCAGAAGAGTATGAGCCTTAGGGGAAAGGGGTATAGATTCACTTCGGAGTTGAGACAATCACTCCTTCCTAGGTTTCTCCAGTATTGTCCAAGGTTATGAGTCAGTGCAATACTCCCTGTGTGGCTAGACTGTACTGTCAACAGGAGATAGCCTTGTGAATATTTTCCCCCACCTACTCCCTTGCCCCCACTTTTAATCTTTAGGAGGAGGAAACTGAAGCGCGCTCGTGTGTATGTCTGTGTGTCTGTGTGGTGTGAGATGTCTGATATCTGCCTTCCTCTTGTCTTCCCTCCAGGGCCCTGGTTGAACTTACCCTTTCCCCCATCTTTCCCCTGTCTCAATGCAATAAAATTTAGGACACCAGCAACTGCCTTTCTTTAAAAATTGGTTTTCTGACCATGTAGCTGATGCATCGGGGGCAGTGTGGGTGTCTTCATTTGTTGCAACGTCTCTGTCTCTGTCTCTCTCTCCCCCTCTCTCCCCCTCCCTCTCTCCCCCCCCCTTTCCTTCTCTCTCTCTTTTTCTCTCTCTCTCTTTGGTTAAAAAAATGAAAGAAAAATAATCTTGGATATTCCTATTCTTGCTGTATCAATATAGAAGTAAATTATTAAACCTAAACTGCTTCCTCTTAGTACTTTGTGTATTTTTGAGATTTAGATGGCATGGGAGTACTAGACTTGGAGTGAGTAGATCTGCCTGGATGGGAATCCCATATTAGAAATTTACTAGTGTGCATTTTTAGCCAAAGATGAATAACTTAATCTCTCTAGTCTTGCTTCCTCATCTGTGAAATGGGTATAATGCCTTTAATCCTTCCCAAGGTTGTTAAAGGAATCAAATGAGTTTCAATTGCATTGGAATCCCTATGATGCTGTAAAAAGTTAGCTGTTACTGAGTGCTGGGGTTCAGAATAAGGAAGAGCAGGGAGTTGAGAAGTCTAGAGGCAAAACTGGTGCCCCAGATCTGGAGACTATGTCTTGAAGGTGGACTCTGATGATCCATAAAGGAAAAGAGAAAATTTCCAGGGTGGGAGGAAGGAGGGTAAGAAAAGGCCTTGAGTTGGTGGGGTTTTTTGTTTTGTTTTTGTTTTAAGAATGTTTTAGATTATAATTGGAGGAGAGAGTTAGAAGTATTTCTCGACTATGAGAACTTTGAGGTGCCAGATACTGAACTCGGAGGTTAATCTCCTTTGGGATCTGAGTTTCTTGGAACACACAGCCCTTCAATAAAATGCATCTATCCTTTCAGCAGAGAAGCTGAGTAAGAAGCAAATGTCAATATTCTTTCCCCAAGCTTCTTGGGAAGAAATCTTCTGGCTGCAAGGGAGAGAGTTTGTGAGGGGAAAGGATACAGCTGGGTCCTGGGAAAACATGCTGGAGAAAGATCAGTCATCTAGTCCTAGGGGTGGGAAGAGTGGATTGACAGTGCTCCCTCAACAGTCCCCTGGGATTTCCAAAAGCCTCCTTATTAAATTTCTCTTTGGCTGCTGGGGGGAAAAAAAGTTTAAAAGAAAAAAAGGAAATGGCTTCTAGATGAGGCCCTAGGGTGAACAAAAGGGTATAAGGTTTTAATCTGGAATGCAGCACAGATTTGGGTTAGGCTGGGTATCTTGGGAGGGGTATTGGAAGGGCTGAGCAGTAAATGGATTTTGAATCCTCTTTTTCCTTCTACTTCCTCATTTTCCTTTTCTGTTAAAGAATAAATGTGGGGCAAAAGAATTTGTAAAGTCAAAGTTGGACTCTGGCTTTGGCTTTTGGAGGTGGATAGGGATTATTGTTGGAGGGGACTTCAATTTGAGAACAATACAGGATTATTTTAAGAGTCAGGTGTAATTGGAAAGGTGCTAAACTTGGCATCTGTAGACCTAGACTTGAATTCTCAGGTAGATAGGCCACTAGCTGAGTGGCCTTGAAAATGTTTCTTCCCTGAGCAGAACCAGGAGAACAGTTTAACATAGTTAAAGACAATCACTTTGAAAGACATTGGCTTTTTGATTAAAACAATGACCCATCATGATTACAGAGGCCTCATGAAGAAATCGGCTATCCATCTCCTGGCAGAGAGGTGATGGATTCATAGTGCAAATTGAGACAATGTTTTTGAACATATCCAATGTGGGAATTTGTTTTGCTTGGTTATGCATGTTTTTAACAGTTTTTCCCTCCCTTGCTTTCTCAATGTGAGGGGAGAGTTCAGATCTTTTGAAAAGAAGTAAAATTTAGTTTTCTAAAATCAAAAATAGAAGTTACTGAAATTGAAAAGTCTGATCCTTAAACTTTTCAGATGTGAAAGAGGAATAATTTACCATCTACCTTGAATAATGGATATGAGCAAAGCTCTTTATAAAACTTTGAAGTGCTAGAGAAATGGGGCTGAGGGGTGTGTTATTCTCTTAATCCATTACACCTTTCTGCCTGGGTTCCCATTTGCTGTGAACTCTAAAAATGGGTAAATGATAGGGGGTGTCTTTCCCCTCATCCAACGTCATAGGATCATAGACTCAAAGTTGAAAGGGACTGGCCATCTAGTCCAACCCATTCATTTTACCCATAAAGAACTGAGCTTCAGAGAAGTCAAATGACTTGTCCTAGGGCACACAGATAGTGGCATATTTTTAATATTCACTCATTATTCCTTCAACTCATTTTTCTGCCTGTGGCCCCATCTGCAATGAACACTCTAAAAGTGGGTAAATGGTAGAAGTCTCTCCCTCCACCCAATCTCATAAATCTAGGATAGAGAGCTGGAGGCATCTTCGAGACCGCTACCAATCCCCTCATTTTACCAATGAGGAACTGAGAGAAGTCAAAGTGACTCGCCCTGGGTCTACTAGTTAGAGCCCAGGTCTTTCTGATTCAGAGTGACTTTCCCTGGGTTACACAGCTAGGAAGTGTCTTCGGTGGAATTTGAACTCGGGTCATCCTGTTTCCGTCCGTCCGCTGGGCCACGTTGACTCCCAAAGCTTGAGGTTGCCCGGTCTCCGTCCACCTCCACGGGCAGCCGCGAACTTGATTGGCAAAGAAAAAGGGGAGGATGGTGGAGGGCGGGGTAAGGTGACGAAGGTGATGGGGAGAGGGACAGGTAAGGGGTGGGCCTCTTCCGCTCTCTCCCAGGCTCGCTCGCTGCTCCCTCCCCCCGCCCCAGCCCTGCCCTCGCTCCCTCCCCAGCAGCTCTCCCTCCCTCCCTCTCCCGCTCCCGGGAGCATCCCCGCGGAGGGAGGGCTGGGGAGGTGCAGGAAGGACTCTTTGGGATTGGAGGTGGGGCCCGAGAGGCGGCGACTGGCGCCTCCGATTTGGGGGAGGGGGCCGCTGTTCTCGGCCCCGCCTCCCTTCTTTGAGGTCCCCCCTCCCCAGCCCCCCTCTCCTCTTCTTCATCCCTCTCCCTCCTCTCCCCCCGCCACCCCGTTGCTAAGGTCCGGACCGTCATCCCAGCAACAGCCTCAGTCATGTGACCGGCGATGGCGGCGCTGACGGGAGGTAGGTGAGCCCGGCGTCCCCCCCTCCCCCGGGCGCCCCCCGGGCGCCCCCCGGGCGCTGGCTCGCGCCCCTTGGACCCGACTCCCTGGAGCCCGGGGACCCTCGCCCTTGCCCACCCTCTGCGCCCGCTCGGCAGCCGGGCGTCCTCCCTTCTGTTGCGGGGTCGGGGGGGAAGGATGTTGGGGAGGGTGCTGCGGGGCCTCCACGGGGCCTGCCAGCTGCGGGGTCGGGGAGGGGAGCCCCCGGGCGTGTGTTCGCGTGCGAACGTCGGTGTGTATCTGTGTGTGCGCCGGGGGAATCGGGGCCTGGCCTGGCGCGGGGTGAGGGGTACGGGAAATGGTCGATGGGGACTCGGGGATCCGGGCCCACTCCAGACACCTTCACTGGCCCCGCCCCAGTCGGGGGGGGGTGGGACTGGCCTGGTGTAGGTCACAGACCGCCGGGCCCTCGCCTACCCCCACCCCCCACCCCCCACCCCCGCCAACTTCCTTAGCCAAGCAAGGGTCCGCTGTTGCCCTCCATTGTCAAAGGGGTCCTAGCCTGTAGCCGCCCTGCTCCAGGGTTTGGGCTAAGAGCCCCTAGGGGTAGACAGCCTCCGGGTTGGAAGGGGGTTGGGAGAGGGGGGAATAGGAAGGAGATACAGGCAAGGGCAGCCTTTCCCTCCCAACTGAGAGGGTCAATGACCTAGCCCCTGAGCTCAGTCCTGTGGTTCTCTTCCTAGCTGGATGAGAGACGGAGACCTGAGGAAGTAAATGTGTGGGGGCTAAGGGGATGTCCCAATTTCTAGGAACTAGACCCACGGATGAACATTCCCCATGCATGACAGTGTATACTGATGGAGAGATGAGATACCTGGTCTTAAACTAGTGGGAGTGAACTATGGATATTTTTTTGTTATAGAGTCTGCTGCCACTTTGTCCACATCTTCAACAGTCAGCAAGCAGGAGTGATTAAGGTTAGACTTTAGGGAGGATTTGCAGGCCATGAGGGAATCATGGGCAATAGTGGGGAGAGTGAAAGTCTGAGAGCATAGAGGAAATTCCTGCCTTTATGAACTGAGGGCAAGGGGCAGGATAATGGCTGAGACAATTGGCTTAGGTCAATTTTTTGAGGCCTTTCCAATTCTAATCAGTTATCGCTTCCTCTTGTCTCTTCTCACCTTTTCACTGTAGACTGAGGAAAAGGCCCCTGAAGGGCTTAGTGTTAGGGATGAAAAGAGGTTTGAAGTTGTAGTATTGAAGTTCCAATCTCCACAAAGCTTCTTTTGGAAAGGGGATGGAATACCAGGGGTGGAGGAAGAGGAAGGGAGATGTCAGGTGCAATTGGTTGGTGGCAAGGAGCAGGGAGAAGGGGAGGGATAGGTAAGGCAACAATTTCTATTATAACCCTATTGCTCTCACCCAGTGTTGGGGTCAAAGTCCAGCTGAGTGTGGAACTTCCAGGATTCCTCCTGCCACCATCGTCCATGGGCTCTCCAGGTACCAGTCCTTCAAGTAACATGCTGCTTAGCCATCCCTCACTGTTCCTACCCCCAGGGATCTTGTTTTCAGTGCTTTCAGTAACTTTGACTCTAGAAATCCCAGTTCTTCCACTCCCAGGGCTGCTCAGATGCATAGGGCCTCTGAGTTAGGATGTATCCAGGAAGGTTCCCTCATTTTCTCCCCAACTCTGGACAGAGAGATTCACCACCATCACCACTAGGTCAGATATTTCTAGCCCATAAGTAGGGACATAGAGGGAGAAAAGGAAAGCCAATTGTGGATGTGCCAGGCTTGGAGCCTTCCTGCCAGGGCACACGACTTCACTCTGGACAGGGAAGGAGGTAATCAATGTAACAATGGGGAAAGTTCAGTGGGTCCCAGATTCAGATGTTTGGTTTAAATGGTAATAAATCAACTGGATCTCCCACTCTGAAAGAGGACCCTGTAGCCCTGGTGGGAGATGTGGGACGGGGAACCAGGAAGAGATACTATGCCTTGGGATGAGATTGAAAGAAAATGAAAAGGCCATTGTACCTTGAAGCAACTTCCCCTACGTTGCAATATAATCTTTCATCTTGGGGAATTACCCTAGTCTTTATTGGGAGAACTTTGGGTAGAATACACTAGAGTGGAAGGGATGCTGGACTTTGGAGATTAAAATGAGGTTCTTTGTCAAGAGGTGGTGTTGGGTTGGGCTTTGGAATGGGGCTGATGCTGATCTCAGGTGGGTAATTGGGGATTGAGGATGGAGGCACTAGTATTTGGCAAATAGATCCTATCCTGAAGCCCCTTCATCCTGGGGCAGTGTCGTTCGTCCTGTCCAGGATGGCGGCCTGTGGGGGCAGCTGCAAGAACAAGGTGACAGTCTCAAAGCCAGTGTGGGACTTCCTGAGCAAGGAAACACCAGGGCGGCTGGCCCGGCTTCGGGATGAACACCGAATATCCATCCTCATCGATGGAGAGACATCGGACATCTATGTTCTCCAGCTCGCTCCCCAGGGCCCTCACCCAGCCCCTCCCAATAGCCTCTACCTCGCCAGAAAGGCTCTGAAGGGGCTGCTCAAAGAGGCAGAGAAGGAGCTGAAGAAGGCACAAAGGCAGGGGGAGTTGATGGGCTGCCTGTCGTTGGGGGGTGGGGGTGAGCATCCAGAGCTACACCGCCCAGGGCCCCCTCCTCTCCGGGCTGCTCCACTGCTGCCCCCAGGGGCCAGAGCCCCCTTACCACCTCCACCCCCTTTGCCCCCACCTCCTCCGCCTCGCCTACGAGAGGAGGCGGAAGAGCAGGAGAGCACTTGTCCCATTTGCTTGGGGGAGATCCAGAATGCCAAGACACTGGAAAAGTGCCGACACTCATTCTGTGAAGGCTGCATTACCCGGGCACTGCAGGTGAAGAAGGCCTGCCCCATGTGTGGTCGTTTCTATGGGCAGCTGGTGGGCAATCAGCCCCAGAACGGGCGAATGCTGGTCTCCAAGGATGCCAGCCTCCTGCTGCCTAGCTATGAGAAATATGGAACCATTGTCATCCAGTATGTCTTCCCACCTGGCGTCCAAGGGGTAAGAAGATCACACTCTTTTCTCCTCTTTTGGCCTCTCCCAAGCTCTCCAACTGATTTGACTCACCCCTTCCATCATAAGACTAGGGAAAAGAACTGACCAGTGATTTAAGATAATGTTTGGCTCTGCTGTTTTCATACAATATGACTTTCTGATCATTATCCAGGGGCGGGGGCGGGGGTGGGGGGGTGGGGGGAGGAAATGTCCTACAAAGCCAGCTCCCCCTCTTCTCCCCTACCCGCAACACACATAAAAGTCCATTAAGGACAAGGAAAGGAACTAGCTAATGTTGACATGATGAACCTGGAAGTGTTCACTAGTGCAGAAATTGCTACAGAGGTGAATTGTTGGTAAGGGGTGGAGGACAGTTGGTCAGGTGAAGGCTGCTTAGAAAGGGATCCCCAAATCTTAGAGGGCTACAAGCAAAGAGGGATAATTATTTTGTCATACTTATTTGAAAGAGGAAAGTCAGTGGGACAATATAAGGTAGGAAGAGGGGTGATGGGCGAGGTCCAAGAAGTCATTCTGGGAGCCTCATTGTTAGAGAGTAATGCCTAAGGAAGCGTTCAGTTTTGGTTTTCATAAGAATGTGAATAGTTTGGATAAGAGTTAGAGAAATGCTGAAAGAGATAAGTAATAAAGTCCTTGGTAGAAGGTTGGAAACATTAGAAAGAGAAAGCTGAGAGCTGACTTATGCCTAGTCCTCACCTCTCTGGAGGACTGACTCCTCTTTAATCCAATTAAGAACCAATCAAAAGGAAAATTGTGTCCAGTTGAAGTATGGGTGGTTACAGTTAGATAGTAGGAGAAGCTTTTCAAATATAAGAATTGTTGTTTGGACGAGCCCTCTGATGTGGTGACCAGGTATCTCCTTCCCTAAAAATCTTTTAGCATATTCCCCTATGTGTGAACTGGGAGCACACCAACAGAGGGATGACCAGTATGACTGTTAGTCATCAGCATGGGCTTCTAGGGTCCCCATCCACTGACTTCACCCCCACTCCCCCATCCTCCCAGGCCGAGCACCCAAACCCTGGCGTTCGGTATCCTGGCACCACACGGGTGGCCTACCTCCCAGACTGCCCCGAGGGCAACAAGGTGCTGACTCTGTTCCGAAAGGCTTTTGACCAGCGTCTCACCTTCACCATTGGCACTTCCATGACTACGGGGAGACCAAATGTCATCACTTGGAACGACATCCACCACAAGACCAGCTGCACTGGGGGACCCCAGCTGTGCGACACTCCTCCAATCCCCCTCTCTCCTAACCCCAACTGCCATTGTGTGGCCTTCAACCCTTTCCCTGGGAACCTTCCCAAATATGTAGCTCTCCCATACCTGCCCCTTGGCCCTCTCCCCAGCTATATTCAACTTAGACCTCCTTTGGCTTTACACCGTTCCCCTTCCCTAATCCCAGATCTCCTCTTCTCCCCCCCCCATTCCTCATCTCCCACTCCCTATCGTTTATTTAAACTCCCTGCCTCTTCCACACACACACATACAAACACATAGCCTACTCCTGGGGTACTCACCTTGGTCCATAAAACTAAGAAGAATTGGACCTATCCTTCCCTGGGATATGAGACAGTCTGGTCAGAGGGAGGGGGAGGAGGCATGGGCTGGTATTTCTAGAGGGTAAACAGGATGGGGTGGGCATGGGGGCCAAAGGAACAGCACATTTAACATTCTTCCTCCATCTCTGTTTGTTTCTAGGTTTGGGTACCCAGATCCCACCTACCTGACCAGGGTGCAAGAGGAACTGAGAGCCAAGGGCATAACAGATGATTAAAGGATATTCCCTTCCTTTGCCCCCTCCCCCCAAACACCTTCCCCTATGGAGGATTCATTACCTCCTCCAACCTGTCCACTGACGTCTCTAGTCACTCCTCTCCATTTTATCTCCAGTGCGTAGGAGGTTTTTCGGTTTTGGAGGGAGCCTTGGATAGGAGGGTACAGCCTCCTGACTCTTCTGTCCCCCCCTTCCACCATGTACTTCAGTGTGATGTGACCCCCACCCCCCACCCCAACCCAGATCTCTCCATCTGTTTGGGGTTAACCTAAAAGGCTTCTATCCATGCTGCTCCCTCTCTCTTCCCTATTCCCCTCCCATGTACATACCCTGAACCCCACTGCCCCATGTACCCACCCATACCCCATCCCATCCATTTTGGATCTTTCTGAAACATGCTCCTTAGGAGGCCTCCCCTGAAAAGGACTGGAGGAGTGTCTCTACCTCCCAACCCCAACCACACACACTTAAAACTGTACGTGGCAATGAACTCTGGGTGGTGTGTGTGTGTGTGTGGGTGTGTGTGTGTGGGTGTGTGTGTGTGTGTGTGTGTGGGTGTGTGTGTGTGTAGCAGAGGGGAGGGATTGGGGGCTGGTACAACATCCCCACGCCAAATGGAGCCTGCTCTGTGTATTCATCAAGCCCTTACACACTCATGTTGTTCCCTTTTTGTGTCTGTCTTTCTGTCAGTCTGTCTTTCTCCCCCATTCCTCTACCTTTACCCAGTTTGGAACTGCCACCAGACTAGCTTTTGATTTAATAAAAATAAAATATGCAACACGACTGTGGATGGGCAGTGGAGAGGAGGGTCCCTGAACAGGGATGTGTCTGGGGGATGGAAGAAATCAGGAAGTTCCTGGATCCTTTACCCAGCCCTCTAGACTTTTGGAGAATTGGGGGAATAAGGTTGATTTATTGATCCTAACACATTGGAGCACTTTGGTCTGCATTTTTGCTTTACCAGTTTTACTGGGTGGAGGTGGGATTATGGGGAAAGAGGAAATCCTACCCGTCCTGCTGGGGTTTGAGTTGGGGTGGGAGTGGGGCGGAGCTGGAGGACGGGGGGGAGGATTCAAGCAGCAGCAACTTCACGGACACAGCGCCTCAGGCCCCCTAGGTTTGGTGTCCCCTCGGCCCCGAGCAACGAACAAGGTCTAAGTCCAGCATGAAGCCCCCAGACCGCCCCACCTCGGGCCGCACTGACCGGATGCTGGGGGCGATGGGGGGCATGCTGCGCGCATGCGCCCTGCCCGAACCTGAGGGGGTAAGGAAGAGGGACCACGGTGGGCTGGGTTAGGGGTAAAGGGACCTAAGGCTGCACACCACCTCTCCTCCTACCGGACAGCAACCCAACTGATAGTCTCAGGAACTTGTGAAGCCTTGCAATAGTAATAAGGTCCAAAGAAACCCCTTGGGGTCAATCCGTTCCCACTGTAGCCCAGCGACGCATATTGATCGCTCCATGGGATCATGTCACAATCAGGGAAAGGGATCGTCAGGCTTAGATGTAGACGAATTGGGGCTCCTCACTGACCCTTTGTCCTTACAGCCCCCCAGCAGGAACCTCCTGAGGCTGGGGGAAAGGGAAACTGAGCCTAAAAGTACGAAGTGGGGTAAGAGAGGGGAGGTAGAAACTGCGATCTCCGAACCGACTCGGGAGCTTGGTAAGAAGTTGGGTTTAGGTGGGGTAAGGCAGTGTAGAGAGGCACCCCGCGCTAAGTAGTGAATTCAAACAATATTCCTTGCCTATTTACATAGTGTTTTGCTTATTATTTGCTTGAGATTCATTTAATTGCACGGACTGTCCCACATTTTCCTTTTTTTTTTGTCCGACCTCTGTCCTATCCAGCCGCTGTACCCCCCTCGCCAGGCTGAGTAGCCGCCCCTACGCCCCACCCCTGGTCCCCAGCCAGCCCAGGGCTCTAGAACTTCTCCTTAATTGGTGATTAGTCGCTGCTAGAGTCCTGGGTACTGAAGGGAAGGGAGGGAGAGAATTAGAGAGAGAGGGCCGGGCATCTGAATTAGAGCGTCCACGCACACAGCCCACTCGAGACAACCCGTCTACCACTGAGCCTCCCGGGATAAGGGTCTGGGTAGAGGATGACGCCTCTTTCCAACCCCATCTTTACCTCCACTCCCCCACCCCACCCCTCCCTCCTCATCACGCCCACACACAATTTGAAGCTTTATCTATCTACGGGACTCCTGCTCTTCGCCACTGAGGTCTAGGGGAGAATAGCGGGCACTGGCCCAGTTACCAAAGTCCGCCCCACCTCAGCCCTCTAAAGATAGAGAAGGACGGAGGAGGGAGGACGAGGGAGAAAATCAGGAGAGGCAGTGGAGGGAGGGATGGAGAAACTGGGGACATAGAGTTCCAACTTGGGGGAGCCACTGGGGGAGAGAGGAATTGGGGACTAACTGGAGGTGGGGATGGAGCTGGAGAGGGCGGAGCTAGGGCCAGATAGACTCCTCCCCTTGGCTGCATAGAGGCTCGGCCTGCAATTCAGCTCGCCGCTCGGCCCAGACCCGGAGCAGCGCCAGTATCTTCCCAACGCTGCCACCCCCGCATATCCTCGCCCCAACCCCAGCCCAGGGACTTTTCCCCACCCCATCTTCCACGCACCCATCCTACTCCCCCACCCTACCCCCATTCCCAAGCGACCCCAGAGACAGAGCTGGAGCTGCAGCCGCATCCCGGCCCAGGCCCCACCCGGACTGGACAACTGGACGCACGGACCCCGGGACGGATAGGGCTCCGGAGCCCCTCTTCACCCGGCTCGGCATTCCAGCCCTGTGCTGCCCCTTGCCTAGGCCCCCTGTCCCTCCTTCAGATAAGACTAATATCCACCCCTAGACATCCCCGCCGCCATCCTTTCCCTCCCCCCTCTCCCAGCCCAGACCTGGGTGGGAGGGAGGGGGGTGTGCGCCCGGAGCCGTTCCCGCTCCGCCCCCCGTGATTCCCTCTGCATGGCCGGCCCGGGTGGGGGGTCTGGGGGGGCCCCGGAGCCATGCGGGAGGATCACCGGGGGGGTCGTTGTGCCTGTCCCCACGTGATCCGCAAAGTGTTGGCAAAATGCGGCTGCTGTTTCCCCCGGGGGGGTCGCGGTGAGTGTGGGACTCAGTATTTGGGGGGTGGGAGTCTTGAAAGGGGGGAAGGTTGATTTATGTGTGTGGGAAGGGAACTTGGGAGCCAGGGTCCTTTTCTCCCCTAACACCCTAACTGGAGGCTGTCAATTCATCTCCCAGAAAAGTGGAGTTGGAAGATAATCTTAAGCTCTAAATATTTTGATTCCAAATTCGAGAAACTGGGGGAAGGGGCAAGGAGGGGTCGGTGTCTGTTTTTATGTGTCTTCGAGGCGCGGGGAGATGAGAGAAACACCCTGTTTAGGTTTCTTTTAGGGTCCTGTACCATTTCCATCTTCTCACTATGCCCCCCCCCCCAAAAAAGCATTCAATCAAACTCAAAGCCTTGCTCTCCCGAATGTGACTCAGGTCTGGTTAGAGGAAAGGGAGGCAATGAAGGAATCTAGAGTTTTGTATCTGATCCTATAACCTGATTCACTAGTGACAGATCTGCTACCATATTAAGCTTCCTTTCCTTGCCCTCCTCTGTCTATTGTAGTAAACTGCTTTGCGGGAAGGGGGGAGGAGGAACAAGGGGTACAGAAATTATTTCTTTTTATAGGGATTGAAGCAAGTGGGGGAGCTGTTCCAGGGGTGGCAGATGGTTCCTAGCTCTGTTTCCCACCCCTGTTTCCCAGGGAATGGTCTGTACCCATCATGGAGGGGAGGGCAGATGGCCACCCCCAGATCTTAGTTCCAGTCGATGATTTGCCCCCCTACACCCATGAACCGTGCCAAACTGAAAATGTGAAGGCACCCCACATATTCATGGGGATCCAGGAGTGGGGGAACAAAGTGCTTGGAGTCTCTCCTGGATGTTTCTGCCCCTTGAGGTGGGGGAGGGGAAGTCACTATAGTTAGCTCCCCCTTTTCCCTCTTTTGAAGACCAATAAGATTTTTTATCCAATCAACTCAGATGGAGACAATAGGTCTTGGGACACTGGGGAAAAGAATTGGCTATAGTGGGAAAGATGTTCTGTGATTTCTCCTAGAAGTTCTAACTAAGCTTTCTATGTATTGTCTCTACTTCCACTTTCCCAGAGTCCTATTCCATTGCTGGCAGTGAAGGCAGTGTCTCTGCTTCCATTGCCTCTGTCCTGGCCCCCACTTCTGTCCCCAGCTCTGGACTCAGCTCTGGTCCTTGCTCCCCTGGACCCCCAGGGCCTATCAGTGGCTTGAGGCGGTGGTTGGACCACTCTAGACACTGCCTCAGTGTGGAAACCGAGACAGGCAGTGAGCAGGCAGGATCATGTCAGGTGAGCTAGAGGAGCCAGCTAGAACATCAAATATGAGGCAATATCAAATCATGAGTGGAGGGCAAGGGCTAGGGGCCCACTATTAGGAAGAGGAACATATTTGTTGTAGCTGACCCATGTCTGACCTTCAATACCCAGGGATGGATTCGAGAGTCAACTCTAGCCTCAGGGGAGGAACTACCAGAATTGACCTTACTAACTACTTTATTGGAGGGACCTGGAGACAGGACCCAGGTATCAAGAAAATGATGTTAGATAGATGCTGAAGCATCATCAAGGTTTCCTGGCCATCCTGCTGAGGGCCATTCCTTTCCCTACTCCTCCAGGAAAGTACAACTTCCCAGCCTTCTGAGGAGACTCCCACTCAGACTACAGAAAGTGAGGAAGAAAAAAGGAAGAGGGCTTTGGACAGGAGTATGTAAGTGCCATTTTTGTGCTTCAGGTGATGACCAAATGGATCCTCTTCAAGCATTTAGAGAAACTCCCACAGGCATTGCCTTGGATGTAAGAAAGACCCCCACCCTCACTAGGGTCTTCAGGGAGAGGGGTCACTAAGTCTCAGAAATGAATGGTTGCTGAATGAAGGTAGTCCATTGACCCTGAGGAGGGGTGCTCTCCTCCTAGGTATGTCCTGAGTGAGCTGGTGGAAACAGAGAAAATGTACGTGGAGGACTTGGGGCAGATTGTGGAGGTAGCTTCCTCTACCCCACCCTTATCCCCCACTCCTACCCTTCTACCCCTGCACAGCTGCCATTCCTTCTGTCTAAAGCTGGAAATCTCTACTCTAGTTTCCAAAAGTTGCATGGGTCCTTTCCCTGGGACTAGGTTTCTCCCGTTTCACTCCTTCATGCCCAGATCCCTCCAGTGGTACCCCTTCCAATAGCATTTTCTTGTCCTACTCATACTTCACATTCTGCCTTCCTACCAGGGCTACATGGCAACCATGACAGCCCAGGGCATCCCTGAAAATCTTCGAGGTCGGGACAGGATTGTATTTGGGAATATTCAGCAGATCTATGAATGGCACAGAGAGTAAGAATGTTGGCATCAAGGATATGGGAAGTGGAGGAGAATAGAAGGGTGAAAGGCAAAGAGGGGGTGATGAAATGGGGCACAACAATTATGGAGGAGGGGGAAAACTAAACAGATCAAAGAAATCACAAGATTTGGATTGGGATAGAGCACCGGCCCTGAAGTCAGGAGGACCTGAGTTCAAATCCGGCCTCAGATTAAACGACACTTAGTAGCTGTGTGACCCTGGGCAACTCACTTAACTCCAATTGCAAAAAAAAAAAAAAAAAAAAAAAAGATTTGGATTGGGAGGATCAAGCAGAACCCGTGCTGACCTTCCTTTCTTTTTCCTTGGCCACACCTCCAGTTACTTCCTTCAAGAACTACAGAAATGTCTTCAGGATCCTGATTGGCTGGCCCAGCTCTTCATTAAGCATGTGAGCTGGTCAGGGTACCTATGGGGCCTCACTTTGGGGATGGATTAAGCTTCTGTGAGTATTAGGGTCAGAGGGCTGCCCTCATCCATGATTTCCCCAAACTTCTTCAGGAGAGGAGGCTACACATGTATGTTATTTACTGCCAGAACAAACCCAAGTCTGAACACGTCATGTCTGAATTTGGAGATAGCTACTTTGAGGTCAGTGTTCAGACTTACTGGTGGGCCAGGGTTCAACATAGAAGCCCAACTAAAGCCTGTTTTCTCTCCCTTCTCCCGGCTTCCTCCTCAGGAGCTCCGTCAGCAGCTTGGTCACCGTCTTCAGCTTAATGACCTTCTCATCAAACCTGTACAGAGAATCATGCAGTACCAGCTGCTACTCAAGGTCAGAGCCTCTTGCCAATATAGTTCTACCTATTCTCCCTCCACCTACCTGCCAGGCCTTCCTTTTAGAGCTCCTCACATCTTATCCAGGTTGTCCTCCCCTCAGGGTGTCTGGGAAATCTGGAAATCAGGTTCCCAGCATCAGAACCTTTCTCTGTTTCTTCTACATGTCTCAGGATTTCCTCAAATATTATAGCAAAGCCAAGAAGAATACTGAAGAGCTTGAGGTAAGGAGACGTCACATCCTCTTCTAACCATAACCACTCTTCTCTCCTTTCAAAACCTCAAAGGACCAATTCCATTCCCTTTAGGTAAGGACCCATTTAAGGGTTAGTTTAGGGAGAGAACATGTTAGGGAAATTAGTTAAGAGAAGGAAGCAAGAGTAGGAAGGGAGAATTTGTCTCACCCTCCACTTCTAAGTGTGTTTCTCCAATTCTTCCTGTCCCAGCGTGCAGTAGAAGTCATGTGCTTTGTGCCCAAACGCTGCAATGACATGATGAGTCTGGGGCGACTTCGAGGCTTTGAGGTACGGGAAGGAGGTGGAAACCTAGAGGAACGTTGCATGTAGTTGGGCTCTCTGGTATGGGAGATCCCTACAGTCTGGTGATCCCTGTGGAGAGAGTTTGATCCCAAAAATGGACCCCAAGAAAGGGATGTGAGGGAGGGGGGAGGAGAGCATGCAGCTCTCCCTAGGAAGTCCCAGCAGGGGTTTCTGTTGCACTCCCTTTCTCCCTCTTAGCCTTTTCTGACCAGTGTCCATCTTCTAATCTTCTAATTATGATCATGACTATTTCCCTTCTGGCCTTAGGGCAAGCTGACCACCCAGGGGAAGCTCCTGGGTCAGGACACATTCTGGGTTACTGAACCAGAAGCAGGGGGGCTGCTCCCTGCCCGGGGTCGAGAGAGACGTGTCTTCCTCTTTGAGCAAATCATCATCTTCAGCGAGGCCCTAGGGGGAGGGGTTAAGGGTGGGACACAACCTGGATACGTCTATAAGAACAGCATCAAGGTGAGGGAAGGGTGGGTCCTAGAGGTGGGAGGGACTCTGAGATGACTTGGTGTGGTGCTGGTAAAGAGTGGGAGGGACCCTGAGAAAAGATCTCCAGAGTTTGGAGAGTTGGAGAGTTTATAAGGGGGCATGGAGGATAGGGTCAGTTTTAGAAATCAGGACCTGGGAGATTGGGGAAACTCTAGAAGCATCTGAGCTGTTTTCCCTCCTATCCACATAAACTGCTTCAGGTCAGCTGTCTGGGCCTGGAGAAGAACACTCAGGGGGATCCCTGCCGATTCATCTTGACTTCAAGAGGACCAGAGGGTGGTGTCCAGCGCTACATTCTACAGGCTTCAGATCCAACAATCAGTGAGGCCTGGACTCAGCATATAGCCCAGATGCTGGAAAGTCAGAGGAACTTCCTTAATGGTAAGAGACCACTACAACAACCTTGGGTTCTCTACCCTACAAATTCCCTGATAATCTCTGACCTCTAACTCCTGATCCTGAGGACTGACTTCTGACGTCTGTACACTTCCAATTTCTGACCCTCTGATGCAAATTACAAAGTAAAATTGACTTTGTAAAACTCAGACTCCCACATGAACCTTCCAGTTAGCTCCTGGGGGAGCCAGTATCATTGAAGAATGGGGCTTTGCAAACCTTAAAGTGCTATATAAATGTGAATTCTTGTTTTAGACAGCAGAGATTCCAGGGAAGGGGCCCAGTATGACTGCCATTCCATCTTCCTTGTTCCTCTCCCTATCCCAGCACTGCAGTCACCGATTGAATACCAGCGACGGGAGAGCCAGACTAACAGCTTGGGAAGGATAGGAGGGTCTGTGGGGGGAAGCCCTGGACGATCCCGGCTTGGGGACCGAGTCCCAGTCAGCACACATACACCCATCAATGGCTCCCTTCCTTCCCTGTTGCTGCCCCCAGTGGGGGTGGCTGAATGCCCCCTGCCTCAGAATAAACAGGTATGGGGAGGGAGTGTCATCCACAGTGATGGGATATGGGGAAAATTGAGAGGTTCATCTTAGGAGATGGAGAGTTGGGAAGGAAAATAATATGGGATGCAGCAGAGTATAGTGAGAAACAAGATGGACCTAGAATTCTGGCTTTCTGAGTTTGTTTCTTCATTTGTAAAATTGGAATAATAATAATGACACTTATACTGTGAGCTCTTTGAGAGTGGGGACTGTTTCAACTTTGTGTCCCCACTGCTTAGTACTGCTTGGCACATAGGTGCTTCATAAATGCTAGCTGACTGACTGACCACCTTGCTAACCTCAAAACGTTCCTGTAAGAACCAAAAGAAACAATGGGTATGAATTTTTTAACCACAAAGTGCTATATACCTCCCATCTGTTATTATATGAGAAATAATCTTCCCTTCATTCTTTGTCTATATAAATACCCTCTTCACCCTTCCATTCCCTTCCAACATCCTTCTCTTCTTGCCTGGCTTGTCCCTTTCTACTCTTTTCCCCTCCAAGTCAAGTCAAGTCAATAAGCACTTGACTTAATGTTAAGCCCCTCTCCCTCAATTATCTGGTTGGTAGGGGTTAGGGATTGGCATTCATAGGGCTACTGAGTCTGGAGGATTCTAAGAGAAGTTCAGAGCCGGGAGGTGAGAATAAGGGTTAGAGATTTCTGATAAATTTTTGAGTGTCAATTTCTGAATTTCTTACCCTTTGACTCTTGTCTCTCTTCTGGACCTTGTTAACCCTACTCAGGCCCCTCCTGCACCTGAAGACCCTATCTGCCAGGCACGGCTGGCCAAGCTGGATGAAGATGAGCTATGACTGGTGACCTCTCACCTTTTGGGGATAGGTAGCTTGCCATTGAGTTTGTGATGGATGAGGCCCCTCTCTTGGGCACTGTCTTTGAATTAATTCTTCTCCTCAGTCCTCAGCTGAATGGAAAGGGCTGGGCTGGGGGTGGGTGAAACTGATGGGAATGGTGTCAAGTTTAAGAAAGATTTCTAGTACATAAAGATTGTTTCTCTACTCTGGGGATACAGATTCCCTTCGCTTTCCTCCATCTGTAATGTATCACTCAAGCAAGCCCCAAGAAAGGAAGAAGTATGGGTGGGTGGGTAAGGGGGCAAGGGATAGAATGTAATGATTTATTTTGATTTGTCTGTTTCCTGAAAATAAAGATTTTGCTCTATCATTGAGGATGGAGGGAGTGAGGAAAAGGTACAGGAGTGAAGTCACTAGAATCATTTGGAGTGGGTGTGGAGATGGGGAAGGGGCAAAGGGTTTGAAATCAATGGGCTTTTACGTGAACTTCTCACCCCAGACCTGGGAGCTAAATAATCATTAGGAATCTTAATGATTTAACCCTAAAGTCTTGTTATACATGTCATTGACCTTCTCCTCTTTACCTGCTACACTGGAAATTCCAAACCTGTGTGATCTTCCCCATCTCATCTTTTCCTTTCCCTCCCATTCCCAACTACTTAATAACAAAACAAAACAAAAGCCAACAACCCACCATCCAGAGGCTAAAGAGGCAAAATCCTAAATATACCTTTTTTGGACTGAGCTTTTCACCACCATCACTGGAGAATCTTGGGGGGAAAGCCCTCTTCCCCTTCCTCTGAAGTCCTCATTAAGTGATCACCCAGCTCCCAATTTTGGGGAGAGGAAACCTGGACAGTGATGTTACTTTTGGTGCTGTAATTCCTGATGCTTCATCTTCCAGACCTGGGATCCAAGGGAAGTTCTGAGAAGTTCAGAAGGAGCCTCCACTCCTTCATATCCCAGATCTCAAGGACTAGGGACAGAAAGAAAGAGACTCAGAACTGTGTCCAGCTGCCCTGGTCCTGGGTCTGTATTTGTCTGCATGTCTACTGTGTCCATCTGTCCCCTAGGGGCTCCATCACATGGGGCTGTGCTTCCTCACCAGACAATGGAATTCTCTGTAGGAGGGGCTGTGGGGTTAGAGTGGGCAAAGGGCCAGAGCTTCCCTTTGGACCTGGACCTTATGCCCCCCTTCTGCTGACAATGGGAGGAGGGGTCTTAAGGAGGGTGGACAGGACGCAGCACCCGATAAGAAGTAAGGGAAACAATAGGAGGAATTGAAGCCAAGAGAGGCCGCCCTAGCTCCACCCGACCCCCAGGGTTTTTGGGCCAGCAACTTGGGGGGCCAGAGGGTGAGTGGCTGGGGTCTTACAGGTTCTTGAGATTTGGAATTTCAAAGGCTATCATGGGGTGGAGCAGAAGTCGGATTATGAATTTAGGTTTTGGGTTCAGGAAGACCAAAAGGGTTTATCTGGGCCAGGAACAACGGAGTGTCCAGTTTTAGAGAAGGCTGAGGGTTATCTTCAGAGCTCTTCTTGTACCCTACAACTGCTCCCCCCCCCCATTTCCCCAAAGCAAAATACAATCAGGAAGAAATTAGAATTGGAATCAGATGATCTGAGGGACAGCAACTTCCTTACAGCCTTAAAATTCAATAAAATAACCACTACCCAAACTGGTGACTCAGAGTCAATAAAAACAAATATATGCCATATTACCTATACATTCAGCATCTACCCCCAACATAATGAACTTAGCGTCTAAACTATCCCCCCACTTCCCCACCCCAGCTATGTGGCATTAATGGAGGACTTTTGAACTGTACTCTGTCCCTTTGTCTCTGAATTTTGGGGTGGACTAATCGTTGTCCCCTCCTTTTCCTCTTGGGAATATTGTGGTTTTGGGGATGGGGAGGGGCGAAATCTGAACTGCTCTCTTCCCAGAGTTCCTGTTCATAACACTTACAAGGAAAAGAGAGAAAAGAGAAAGAAGGAGAATAGTTAATGCTGGGAGACCTCTATTCTTGGGAAGTGATAAGGATTCTCCTTTGGCATCATTCTCGTGTCCTTCCAGCCCCTGTTTCCCCATCCATTATGATTGAAGTTTTGGGGAAGGGTAGGGAAAGTATGGCCAGATATGCAACGTTCTCCCTCCCCCTACCCCCAGAGTGTTTCTCCAGGATCTCTTCCCCGCCCCTAGATAGGATTCCCCGGGGAGATGTACCCCTCCCTAGTCCTTGATTGTATGACTCCGAAAAGGTGGAGCTAGGGGGTTCCCTCCCCACACATTGGGCGGGGTTCTATGAAACGGGATGGAGGGGTACATAAGTCTGGGCTAGAGGAGGAGGGTAGACCAGGGCAGAATGAGTGAGTCGTCTAGCACTGTGTCCTGTCCGGTGTTGGGAGAGGAGTTGGACCCAGTGGCTAGTCCTGGGTCCGAAGCAGTGCCTGGTGTCCTAAGCCCTCTCACCGAGGCACTGTTTCAGAGGCACTTTGGCGGCACCGAGCAGGGTCTAGATCCCTTACGCGATCAGCTGCTGCGGGGCTTTCGGGACAAGCTGTTCCGGACCTACTCCAGGAGGGAGGCGTGGAGGCTGCTCCGGGCCCGATTTCCTCCCTTGACCTGGCTGCCCTGGTACCCCTGGAGGACCTGGTTGCTCGGAGATGCTGTGGCCGGAGTCACCGTGGGCGTAGTGCATGTGCCGCAGGGTGAGGGGACAGTGAGAACTAGAAGGATCTTCTTAGGGAGGGGGTCAGGGTGGGAGAATTGAGCCTTCAAGCGGGTTGAAGGGACGCTGGAATCTGGAGATGTATCAAGGAGGGTGAGGTGTGGGGAGTCTAGATTAGAGTGAAGCCCCCTTGACAATCCCATTCCTCTAGGCTTGGAGGTCGGGACAATTGAGTTTTATGGGTCACCCTGTATCAGATTCTTCCCCCCATCCCATACCTTGTGGAAGAAGTCATTTACCTGTTCTGGCTGAGGGAATTGTCAAGAACCCCAGGGGGTGCCTCCCAGGGCTCCTTCAGGACACGGATGCATAAACCTAATCCACACTTTGGGCCCCTAAGAGCAGGTTGGCTCTCAGCAGTACCCATTTAAGTATACTTAACAGATCCTTAAGATCAGGGCCAATTTTCCCCTTTTGTTGAGAGCACAGAATAAGAAGGTTTGATGTGCCTGGGTATCCGTCCCAGAGTGACCTTTCCATCTCTCCCCTTACTAGGCATGGCCTTTGCCCTCCTAACCTCAGTGCCCCCTGTGTTTGGACTTTATACCTCCTTTTTCCCTGTCCTCATCTACACCTTCCTGGGTACAGGAAGACACCTATCCACTGGTGAGTGATCTGGGCACCCTCATATGTTATGCCCCCAGCCTCACTTGCATTCTATTGTAATTCCTAGGGGGAGTGGAAACGGGTGGAAATTCCATCCCTATTTGGCAGAGTTCCTTGTGACCATTTCCACTCAATCTCACTCCCTTATGGTCCCTGGATCCAGGAAACCTCCAGGGAATTGTAGGCCCCAAGCAAATGACAAAATTGTGTTTTCTTTCCTTGACGTTTCCATTCGGTTAAAATGAACATTAAGCTCAGCCTTTAAGGGTCTCAGAAGTGTAGCAAATAGCCTACGGGACGAAACAGGAGGGGGAGGGGGTTGCCAGACAGCCCCAGGGCTCTTACTAGATTCCCTCTTCCCATCCCCCATCTCACCCCGAGCCAACCCAATCCTTGAGGAACAGATGCTGTCCGCAGGACTTTAAATCTTTCTCCGACTCATCGCCAGCTGGCGGCGCCACTTCCAGCTCTTTTGATGGTTGCTCGCCTGTGGCTTCTGCCAAATCCCTCCAGCAGCTGGAGAGGGGGTGGCGATCGGGACGATGGGGGAAGGGAGCGTGAAGAAAAGGTGGGAGGAGGAGGCTCCCAGATTTTCTGCACCTTAGAGTTGGCTCTCCCTGTAATCTTTTACATCTCTCTCTGAGCTCCCCCCTCCTTCTTGCAGGAACCTTTGCAGTACTCAGCCTTATGACAGGTTCAGCAGTAGAGAGTCTAGTCCCAGAGCCCCCAGGGGGCAACCTGAGCTCGACTGACAGAATGCAGCTGGACCTGCAGAGGGTTGGGGCGGCGGCTGCAATCGCCTTCTGGAGCGGAGCGCTGATGGTGAGGGAGGCTGAGGGGGAGGTCAGCAGGAAACTGGAGGCTGGGAAGGGGGACCCCAGGGACCTGCTTTAGGTGAGAAGGTAGGAAGAGATTCATGGTAAGAGGAAGAATGTTGGAGGAGGGAGGAGAAAGGGAGTCGGGATATCTGGGACTATGGTGCGTGTGTGTTGAGGAATTGCGGGGGTGCGGGGTGGCATCTCCTTGAAGATCAGAACCAGCCCTTTCGCCTCTCCACCCCAACCTCTTTTGCATGGAGGACCACAATAGGAAAGATAGTGATAAAACGAGATGCGAATGACCTGCATTTCCTTGGCCCACTCCCTTGCTACCCCATCAACCCCCTGACTTTATTCCTCCGTTCCCCGGCAGCTAGGGATGTTCGCTTTGCAGCTCGGCTTCCTGTCCACCTTCCTGTCGGAGCCCGTGGTCAAGGCTCTTACCAGTGGGGCCGCGGTGCACGTGCTTGTGTCCCAGCTTCAGAGTCTTCTGGGACTGCCCTTCCCCCGGCAGATCGGCTACTTTGCCCTCTTCAAGGTGGAGAAGAAGGAAGGGGCCTCAGGGACTTTGAGGAAGGAGACACCACAGTGTATTTGGGAGGTTCTGGGGCTGGGGCGGGGTGTGAGGCTATGGTAAAGGTCGAGGTGAATCAGGAGAGCTGGAAGATTGGCTAGAGCGATGGTGCTGGGTGGAGAGACCAAGCCATCAGGTTATCGAGAGGACTTCGTCAGGGGTGAAAGGAGGCCCCGCTAATATGTGCCTCAATCGCAGACGCTGGCCGCGGTGCTTACTGCGCTGCCCCAGAGCAATCCAGCTGAACTGACCATCTCAGCCCTTAGCCTGGCGCTACTGGTACCAGTCAAAGAGCTGAACGTGAGATTCCGAAAAAGGCTGCCTACCCCGATCCCAGGAGAGGTGTTCATGGTGAGAGGACTACCCTTCTCATTCTCTGAGTCCTGTCCCCCTCCTCAGATCTCCAGTCTAAAATCAGACCTTGCTGCTCCCTACCTCCCCAGTTTAACCTCTTCCTCCCAGCTGAAAAGGCTCCACCCTCCACCCCCCTTGTCTTTCTTCCTTAGGTGCTCTTGGCCTCTCTCCTTTGTTTTACCTCCTCTCTGGACACAAG